AAATACGGAGAGAGAGATCCACCAATATGGTGAATGCGGTCAAGTGGTTAAAATAATTTTATTATTACACCAAGTTATTAGTTTTTTAAAGCAATTATTTGAACCTGAATTTCTTTAATATATTTGACTTTAGATTTTCTGTAGAATATCCCTGCTAGGTTTTCATAAATTCTGGTTGGTTGTGTGTGTGTTTGGTTTTTTTTTTTTTTTTTTTGCCGAGAAAGCCAGGTTAAGCATTACTGCCACTATTTTACAAGAATCCCGGTTGATATGCTCAAGGTTATGAACTATTCATCTAATGTCATTGTGAGCACAGTTTAGTTATTCAATTACAAATGCAAGATTTTTTTAAACTATAACACTGCTTGTTTTCTTTTTAACTCTCATATTCCAAAAATATGTTGAAAATACATCTAAATACAATGTACTAGCGATTTTCTGTTTTGGCTTACATCACAGAGTACATAACATGTCAAACCGAGCCTTTAGAAATTGCTGAAATATCTTTCTGTATATTTTTTTTTTAGCAAAAAATTCCCAGTGAGCTAAGGTTACTAGCTATGGTGCATCTAGATTTAACTTTAAATGATCTCTCAAGAATTCCTGTAATTTAGCCTTTTTTGAATGGAAGCATGAGACAGGTATTCTTTTGCAGAATGTTAAAATAACATATCTTCAATGATTTCATTTCCTTGTTTTCTTCTTTAGCAATAATTCCAGTTGTCCTCGATAATAAAGCAGATAGAACAGTTTAGAGCATTATAAAGCCTATAAAAGTACTCTTGAGGGAGTCATGAATCCAGGTTAGAAACAGTCACTTTAAACCAGGAGGTGAATGGATTTCTTTCAGATTGCTCAGTAACCTATGACATGAATAGCTGTTCAATAAAAAGTTGAGAGGAAGTTGAATTGAGTCATTTTGATCTGTATATTTATGTGTGTGTCAAAAATAGAAAATACTGTTTGATATATTTTGTGACTGTGACACCCTCTGTCTTTCTAAAAATATGAATGTAATCAAGTTATTTTAGGTATAATGAACATATTTTTACTTAGTTTCTATTTTTGTAAAGATATTCTCAGCCTTTATTCAATCATATTAAGCTTGATAAATATTTGGAAATAATGGACCTTTTAGAAAATGTCAGCATGTTAACTTTGTTAGAATATTGTTGGAATATCCATATGAATTTTCATTTTATAGCTGAACTGTATATATACAATTTATGGAAGCATTTCATAAGGATGCAAATATGTTCATTAGTATTAAATCTTGATTTTCAGAGTTAGTGAACTTCTGAAAATACAAAATAAAAAAGAAGTCAAACCAGAGTCCTCTGATAGAAATGGTGCAGAAAAATTCTTAGCAACGCTGCAGAATAATAATCAACCACTCTCGTTGTAAATACATTTTCTCTTCTTCAATTCACTAAACTTTAATCAAGGAAAGTTTAGACCCAAGAATTTGTTTTTGCACCTTGATTTTGGTGAAGTACAGTTAGCCTCGGGGAGAACTACACGAAAAATATGAGTCATTCCTTCTCTGTTTAAAACCCATTTTTCAGTTTTACATATCCCCCAAATTATCTCTTTTCCTTTTCTCCTTTTCCTTTCCTTTCATGCAGTGTCATGAACCATATAATGACTAATATTTATTGATCACATTCTACTCTGGCACCTTATTATGCACTTTTATAGATTGTGTCTTTTATATCCTCAGAAGAATTTAGATGAGCAAAGTAATACTGTAATCAATCACCATTTTTTTTCAGATAGGGAAGTATTTTGGAGAGTTTAAATCCTCACCTAACTAAGATTAAAAAGCTGGGAAGTGGTGGAATTGGTATTTACACCCAGGCCTATGTGATGCCAGAACCCTTGCTTTCAGCTGCTCAGTCATTGGGACTCTCTGCTCAGGGACAGGTTCTGCTCTACAGACACCATCATATTTCCCTGTCAGCACCATTTCTCCAGAATCATGATACCATCTTCAAAACACAACAGTTATAATGTGAAGATGAAACAGTATCAGGAATGTATATTAATAAATGGATCTCCTTTAAAAATGGACACAAGTACACACACACACGCACACACACTTCCAAGGCTAGAATAATGAGTATTTATTATCAACATTTTTGATATTTCAAACATGTAAAAAACAAGTAATGTATGTTATGTTTGGATTTCTTGAAATTAATCTCTGAATTCTTCTCATTCCTTTTTTTTCTTTAGTTAAACTTACAAAAACATGTTACTCATTTTATAGAATTATTAAGAACAAGACTTATAGATTTTATGAATTTTTGTTTATTAATCATTATATTCCCTTTGAGGTTTTAAAAACAACTCTGAATAGAGTATTCACTATTGGTATACTAATGTGTTTACGTTCACTTCATGTTTGAGAGGTACATATGCCTGCCACATGTGATCAAGTAAAGCAATCACAAATACAAGTGTATTTTTCACAAATATTTACTTATATATGTTTCTTTATTTGAAATGCAGAGATAACGAAAGAGAGAGACAGATAGAGATCTTCCATCTGCTGGTTTACTCCCCAAATGCCCACAATAGCCAGAGCTGGACCAGGCTTAAACCAGGAACCCAGAACACCATCCTGTCTCCCACATGGGTGGTGGGGGCCCAAATTTTTCAGCCATCACCTACTGCCTTCTAGGGTGTATTAGCAGGAAGCCGAGTCAGAAGCAGAGGTTAACTGGATTCTAGGTCCCCCTGAATGGGATTTGGCCATCACAAGTGGCAGCTTAGCCCACTGTACCACAGTGCCCATCGCAAATATTTTAATCTTTGTTGGAAGAGAAGGGGATCCCACTTCCCTGTCCTAAAATAGTAGCTTGGACTATTATGACTTGGACTATTAAGTAACTTTACATGAACTTTGTATCTTGAGTATCTGATCAGGCAAGATTACTGTTTCTACATATTTGTTGGCAATCAAACTATTTCTCATTGGCCCTTTGAACTAGAAAGAGGGACAGAAAGATTATTTCAGATAATTGTGACAGAATTCTGCAAACATTGCCTAAATATGAATGAACTAATATAACTTCATTTTCCCTACAAAGTACAAATAAATTAGTGGGCAAAGATCAGTATTCTTTATTCATAGTAGATATTACTCAAGAGTTTATATCTTTTACTTCTACCCAAGAGGATTTTCAGTATATTATCAAGTAGATGGGGCATAGAGAAAGTTAAGAATTATAAAGATTTCCAATTACTGCTAAACCATGGTATTAAGAAATTATGATACTTCCTCCTTAAATTGTCAGATGAAATATGATGTTTATTTTTAATTAAGTAACCTGTCATTGTGAAGACCTGAAGGTTAAAGCAAAACATGTTTCATATCACTCTAAGACAGTGCTGTTCTATAATACAAATATGAAGGAATATTTGAAGTTCGGGTTGAATTTAAATGAGGATAATTTCATAGCTTGCCCCTGGGAACCGTACATAAGGCACTGACTGAGCCTCCATAATTTATATTCACATTTAAAGGATTTTATTGGATCCACTTCCTGACCTTACTTAAATTGGTAATTTAAATTCTATTACTTTGGAGGCCAACAATACATGCATGCTGTAGCTGACATTCAAGCTTCCATCTACAGAAAGGAAGCAACTGTTTGCAGACTGATGAATGCTGCTCTCAGGAACGATAGGACTCAAGGGGCTGCCCTCTGCACGTGCATGCTTTCAGAAAGTAAGGCCTTCGGGCTTGATGAGTGCTGATTTTCATACGACTTCCCGGTATGGAAAGCACTATTGAGACGATAAGCTTACGGATGAAGGGGCTGTTATCAGAACAGAGTGTCTTACCTCAAAAAGCTAGAAGCAGTGATAAAAGTGTAAGTCAAAACAGACTTTTTGAGTATGTTCACTGTTTCTCCCCCTGAGGAGAATGGCATGGTTAAGGTTTGAATGTGAGTTCTACAGTGCATTTGTGAAACATTAATTTATAACATATTTTTTGAGCCGGCGCCGTGGCTCAATAGGCTAATCCTCCACCTTGCGGCGCCGGCAAACCGGGTTCTAGTCCCGGTTGGGGCGCCGGATTCTGTCCCGGTTGCCCCTCTTCCAGGCCAGCTCTCTGCTATGGCCAGGGAGTGCAGTGGAGGATGGCCCAGGTGCTTGGGCCCTGCACCCCATGGGAGACCAGGAAAAGCACCTGGCTCCTGGCTCCTGCCAGGATCAGCGCGGTGCGCCGGCTGCAGCGGCGGCCATTGGAGGGTGAACCAGCGGCAAAGGAAGACCTATCTCTCTCTGTCTCTCTCTCTCACTGTCCACTCTGCCTGTCAAAAAAAAAAAAAAAAAAAAAAAAAAAAAATTTATAACATATTTTCACTTGGAATATTTAAAACAATTCCTGAAATATGTTTCATATTTTAATAAGAAAAGCATTTTATACAGTGAATAATGATTGCATGAAATTAAAAATGCTTTTTTTTTTCCTTTTGGGCATATGAGAGAATTTTGTAAAATTCACACTTTATGAAGTTCATTCCAGTACCATTTTTAGAAAGAGCAAAAAATGTAAAAAGCTTTAAAATATTAATTCCAAAAATAAAACAATTTTTGAAATATTTATTTAACTTGAATGTAGAAATCTTCTAGTAGATGTAGAAAAAACTTCCATAAATATGTAAGATAATTTTTGTTTGTATGTTTTAAGCAACTATATCATAGCAGTCATTTTGAATAAAAAACTCATGGATAGAAATGAAATCCTTTCACAAAAACATGTAATGCAGAATGCATATACTTTAACTGATTAATAGCTAAGTTCAAGAAAATATTTTCTAGCAATAATTTTAGTATCAAAATTCAAATTTATGATTCTAATTTGCTCTTTCTATGGAAACTCTCATGAGCAGATACACAAGTAAAACTGGGCTACGGTTTTGGCAGATGAATTCTATGTCAGTTGCAGGTTCCGATTATCTAATTCTCAATATCCCTTTCCTTTAAAGTCTCAAATCTCTATCAGTGTAGAAGAGTGGGAGGACACCAAGGACTCCAGAGAGCCAGGGCACCATCGCGGCAACCACCGCAACTCCACGTCCAGTGACCAGTCGGACCACCCTCTGCTGCGCAGAAAGAGCATGCAGTGGGCCCGAAGACTGAGCAGAAAAGGCCCAAAGCACTCTGGTAAAACCGCTGAAAAAATAACCCAGCAGCGACTGAACCTCTACAGGAGGTCAGAAAGACAAGAGCTTGCTGAACTTGTGAAAAATAGAATGAAACACTTGGGTCTTTCTACAGTGGGATATGGTATGCTCTTGTGATTTCTTGCCGTTAGTAGTTATATCATTGGCTCTCATTGAGTAAAGAATTGCATTTTTTGTTTCATGGGTCAATTTGTAGGGACTAGTACACAAGTCTAATCTGTGGAAAATTTAAACTTAACCATTAAAAACAAAGTGTTAGAAATGTTATACTTTTATTTATTCCACTAGGAACAGCACTGAACCCATTATGTGAATGATCTCAATTTTAATTTTCACAATAACTCTGAGTCAGTTCCTGTTTCCGTGTTAGAGGTAAAGATCTTAAGTAAAGTAATTTGCTAATTAGCTTGTTATTTAGCTGAGCTTGACATCAGGATCTATCTGGCTCCAAAGTCTCTCTCTCTCTCTCTCTCTCTCTCTCTCTCTCTCTCTCTCTCTCTCTCTCTCACACACACACACATACACACACCCCAGACAGAGCTTAGTCTAAGGCCTGAGATAAATTGAGTTTGAGGCAAAGGCAAGTAATTACACCAAAGATAAACCAAAATGTTCCTATAAAATGTGTCTGGTTTCTTGTGGTCCAGAAAAAAATTATTCAAGAGCTTTAATTTTGAAGCTCAAATAGTGTTATATCCATGTAGGACAAATCTGTCTCAACATAGATTCCGACATTGATCTATGACTTCTGTATAGATATAGCATATAGGAAAAGCTTGAGTAAATAATGCAAAGCTAATGTTAACGTGTACCATTTATCATTAAATGAATTTTATTTGAAAAAGAAAGTTGGCCAACTCATTTAGTTGTATACATAATTTGTGTAAACTAGGATAATCCCAAGATAGCTTCTTTATCACGCAAGTTAAGTGTAAAATCATGTTAGAATCAAGTATGTTAAGGGTAAAATAAAATATATTCTCTTACTGCCATCTCATCTTTATTATTAAAGTTTCAGCTGGAGTCAGTGTTCATAGAGAAAGATTTTAATCATTGAATTACTGTTTAAGAGAAGCTGCAGAGTTTCTTGGAAAAAGAAAAAAGACATACTTACTGAATGCCTAACGCTATGCCAGGAACTGTGTACATTTTCTCATTACTCTGCATGACTGTGATTAGACAGGTGTCCCATTGCTTCAATAATTTGACTTTCAGAGGTCAGAGGTTGAAGATCTTGTTCCAGGTAATATAATTGTTATGTTTTATATCAGAGTAAGGGTTCCATGTTTGGTTGACATTCATAATCATGTTTCACTTACTTTGAGTATAACCTAGTCTTTATTCCATTTTAATAAAATCACAGCTAATATCTTATATTCAGGCACAAAGACACAAATTAATAAAGAAAAATGTTCCTCATTTTAGAAATTCACTTATAGCTATTTGCCAACTCAGTAATGCCAAGTATGATTATAGTTCTCATAGGATGGAATTGCTGCATTGATGAGTACTTTGTTAGTTATTTATTTAAGCTACTTTTATTTTAATAAACAGATTTGGTAAGTGATGCCTCATCCACATTCTAGCTGTTTCTCATGAACATTGTAATCTGAGGCTGGTTTTATAAGCAGTGTGGCAGAGAATAGCTTGATTTTTAGAAACACAAAAGTGCTTTAGCTGACTACATGGGAAAATCTTTAGAGAAAATATTGTGTTTTTGTTTTTGAAATCTCTATCTGGTACCTTGCATTTATTTATTATCTATGATTGATTTTTATCATAATTTGTCAACTCTCACACTAGTTTTACAGAATGGAAGCGTGATTTTAGCCATCATTGCCTCTCCCCTACATTACATCTTTCTTTGTTCTCTCTCTCTCCCTTCTTTCCTCCTGTACGTTTGACAGTCATGTACTGGGCACAGGTTATTATGAAAACAAGATTTGCAAATAATGTATCACAGGTTTCTGAACTTCTCCACTTAATCCTTATTTACACTAATTAATCCATTCTCCAAATGTATTGTACTGCCCTCTCAGCACTACAGGCCATAGTTTTAGGCACTGGAAATAATACAATGACTTATTTTGACAAGGCCTCTGCATTTATAGAACTCAAAAATCTGGAAGATTGGTTGAATTCTTCAACTTTTCTGAGCCTGTTTTCTTTCTATTTACAAGATTTATTTTATATTTGAAAGGCAGAGTTACGGGGGTGGGGGGAGACAGAAACAGAGAGAGGGAGAGAGAGAGAAAGAGAGAGGGAGAGGGAGAGAAGAAGAGAGAGATTGATTCTTCTGTCTGCTGGTTCACTCCCCAAGGGGCTGCAGTGCCTGAGACTAGGCTAAAGCCAGAAACCTGGCACCCCAGCTGGGTGTCCAACAAGAGTAGCAGGGGCCCAGCTATTTAGGTCGTCATCAGCTTCTTTCCCAGGCACATTAGTAGGAAGCTGGATTGGAAGTAGAGTGGCCAGAATTCAATGTGATGCTTATGTGGAATGCTGACATCCCAAGCAGTGCCTTAACTGGCTGTGCCACAACTCTGGCCCCTGAGCCTATTTTCTTATATATGGAATGGAAATACTAATACCTGTGCCATAAATCTGTGGTGAGAGGCAGGTGGGATAATGGACAGTGAAGTGAAGTTTTTAGCCCAGAACTGGCATTCATTTCATACCCCAGATGTACTGCATGCCTGCTGAAGTCCTATACACACCTCTGCACCTGACATGTGGTAAGAAAGAGGTTTTTTTCCACCACCAGAGGAAAAGAACAAGAACAAATTTTACACCTTTGCTGTGGTGGTGGTGGGAGGTGTCATCATCAAATTATTTTCTAAGTAGATCTGGCTGCTCTGAAAGAATTAAACAGATTATGTTGATTTGCTGGATGTGAAATGTAAAGGTGAGAAAGAGAAGAATCAAAAGATGACTGTTGAGGCCCCCTTCGATTGTCTTCAATTTATAGATTTATCCTAGCTCATATTTTTTCTCTTGCAATCCATTTCTTAAAGAAACTCACGCTTTGCCCAGTGGAATTTCTCATGGTTTGAATTTCCAGTCTAAAATTGTCCATTGCATTATCTTCCTTTACTTTTCAAAAATTTATGTTATTTCACTAATACAGTGTTTTAATGTAGTATTGTTTTTTATTCATAAAATTGTCCTAATTTTTCCCAGTGTCAGCCTCTTCAAATCGACTCTCTAGTCCTTCTTTTTATAATGTGTACTTATTAGAGAGAGAGAGAGACACCTCTTCCATCTGCTGATTCACTCCCTACAGTACCCCAGCAGCCAGGGCTGTGAGAGGACAAAGCCAGGACCCAGGAGCTAGAAAGTACCTGGGTCTCCCACTTGGAAGGTGGTTGGGGCTGAAGCACTTGAGCCATGCTCTACTGTCCTTTAGGATGAGGGAGCTGGAGGCTTAGCCAGTCACGGCAGGGCCAGTGTCTGGAGTCCTTCTGTCATGACATCAGTGATCTCTGGCTGATACCCTATGCTGCTGCACTAGGGTATTTATTCTCTCCAGGGTTATCCAGTTTCTTTCAGGAGGAAATGCTATTTCAAGACCATAATCAATGATCAGAGATGCTCATTTTCATTTAATTTGTCATTGTCTCAATCTTTTCTAGGGTTGGAGCAGAAATTAACTGGATAGATAGGTAGCTAACTAGGTTGAAAATATCTCACAAGTTCACACAGGTTCTTGCAGTTAAAATCCAGGGACTATAGTATTTTTATTTAACTTTTTCTTATATCTATATTTCCTTTCTACTATACCAAAAGTATTGATTGTAAACAATAGAAATGCTAGAATTATAACATCATCATATAGTGTGCTTCAGAGTATACAGAATGTCCTAGAAAAATAATATAATGTTAATATAAACAGTAAAATTCTAAAATGTAGTTTCTTTTTATTTATGCATTATTTAATTAGAGGTATGTCTCAGAATGGATACATAGTAAAATAATTCTGGTTTAAAGCTTGGAATGGTTTTTCTTGCTGTAGTTATATCACAACTGGATATAAATTTGGGTTCAGTTTTTGTTTTCTATGGAGAGAGATTCCTTTTTCTAAAGGTAATTTTTCTTTTGTAATTATGTGAGCTGTTTACATAGTTCCACGGAGTTCAATACAAGGTATAATCAAAGAAATTTAACCTGAATCCCTGTCACAACCAGTCTCTCCCTTGCCTCGTGGCAATCTTTTTTCTATTTTATGGCTTATAATTCTATTTCTAATTATAAATTTTAAAATATAGATGTTAGCATGAACTTATTTTATTCTTATGGGTTTAAAAATTGTATTTGTTTAGTTGAGAGAGAGAGAGAGATCTGTTAATTCACTTCCCAAATGTCAGTAAGAGCCAGGGCTGGCCATGCTGAAGTGGAGAGCTAGCAACCCAATGCAGAACTCTCATGGATGGCAGGAACCCAAGGAGTTGAGCCATCACTGTTGACTCCTAATATGTACATTATCCGGAAGTTGAAATTGGAAGCAGGGCTGGGACTGGAACCCAAGCACTCTGATATTGATATGAGTGTCGCAAGTGGCTGCCTAATATCTATGCCAAACACCCACTCATTCTTTTAAAATTTATTTGCTTTCACATTCTAAATATAAACATCTGTCTCACTTGGAATTTTCCTATGGCATTAGGTGAGCAGAGCAAATTTTAATCTTTCCCAATACACTTTTCAATATTTAGTTTTGAAATACAATACTATTTTTTAAGTGTTTTTTTTTTTTTTTATTTGACATATAGAGTTAGACAGTGAGAGAGAGACAGAGAGAAAGGTCTTCCTTCCATTGGTTCACCCCCGCAAATGGCTGCTACGGCTGGTGCTGCGCTGATCCGAAGCCAGGAGCCAGGCGCTTCCTCCTGATCTCCCATGTGGGTGCAGGATCCCAAGTACTTGGACCATCCTCCACTGCTCTCCCAGGCCACAGCAGAGAGCTGGACTGGAAGAGGAGCAACTGGGACTAGAACCGGTGCCCATATGGGATGCCAGCGCTGCAGGCAGAGGATTAACCAAATGAGCCACTGTGCTGGCCCCCAATGTACTTATTAAAATATAGACCCTCCTCCAATAATTTTACAT